ATAATAAATGAAACTGCATAATGTCTGTCATTATCGACTAAATATAGCATTTGTAATCTAAAAAGAAGAGAAATATCTTCGTATTTTGAGAAAAATCAATGAAAGGTATTCATTCAAAATGGCTGTTTTGGGCTTCCGTACTTTTGCATGAAAACTGTTGCATAGAAAATAAAATATGTACATTTCTATGCATGTAAATCAAATGTAAATTGCCTGAAAGATGAAAAATCCCCTTACAATTACATTTATTTGATGTATTTCATTCTATATAATGTATTGTGCATCGATCTTCTATCCAAACATTAACATTGCTGAATCTCTAAAGTGCAAAACTTTTATCGCAAGATTTCTCTGACTTTTTGACTTTTATTTGTATTTTGGAGACACACACCTGCACAGAGACACTAATTAGTGCCATATTATTCCATAAAAAGATAATTTGGCACGACAGATGTGTGAACACCACTCTGGAGATACGACAATGGGATTTTGTGCATAGAAATGAAAATGTACTCCGCATATCTTGAGTTGGAAGTGCTTAGTTTTCACTGAAACCTTGTTTTCTGTTTTTCTAAATCACGTGTGAATAATTTAGCAGATCTGCAGCCTGTAATCAATACTCCTGTGTTTACACCCACTGCTACAGGTAGAGAAATACCACAGGTAGATGCAGTACTTTTACTCCAGCGCTACGAATGTTTGTGTGGATATATGATTTCTGATTCGCCCGGTAACTCATGCTTTAGCTTAAAAGAGAAAAAGGGTTTTTCACCAAGATAAGAAGTTTTTGTTGAGATTTACAGATAAGAAAAGTTTTTTTTCAAGATGACAAAATGAAAGAGAAGAGATGTCATATATTAAACTGTATAAAGTAAGTAATTATAGCAAAAACAACAACATTTGTGGATAGGACTGTAGACAAAAATATCTTCAGATTTTGAGAAAACAAATCAAATGTACTCGTTGTCGCAGGAAAACTGAGATTTCCCCAGTTCTATACTCACATTAGGAGAATAGTGTTTTGTATTGCAAGTTTTCCCAATGATTACATATGCAAATGAAGCATCATGTAATGCACAATGTGGGTGTTTTGGGGGGAAATCTACTGACAAAAATCAACAAAAGTAAGAAATTAAACCCCTAAATGTGGATTTTTGAAGGTTTATTTAGAATTTCTGAGAGAAAGGTGATGAGTTACCGGGTAGAATATAAATTCCCTCAAAACAAATCAGCACTTTTCTTCACAGCCGTACCTTAGAAAGCTCACCTTCACAGCCTCATGATGGAAACTCCCGCAGTTACTAGTATTTCTTTTCTTAATTGTGTATTAACTGAAGATGAATCGTGTGTTTTGGGGTGTTTTCATGGTTGTGTGTGATGATAGGAAATCAGGATTTCAGCTACACACCTTGTTTCTGTGTATCTTTTGTATTCTTTTTTTATTCTACATTTTCTTCGATGTTTACGAGTATTTTCATGGTCTTATATTGTGTATTTGTTTTGTCTTGTACCACAGTATAGCCATTATCAATGTGTGTCAAGTCATGTTTGAACTGAAAAAAAAAGAAAAGACAGATCAATATATATGAAGCAAAATAAACACAATCATTTGTACAGACGTGTCTCTCGTTTCTTTTTGAAGGGCCTTATTAATAATGATGTGTCTACTTTAAAGAGTCCTCTCCTGCTGATGTTCAGGTGTATATCAGTATGTAGTGTCTCTACTTTAAAGAGTCCTCTCCTGCTGATGTTCAGGTGTATATCAGTATGTAGTGTCTCTACTTTAAAGAGTCCTCTCCTGCTGATGTTCAGGTGTATATCAGTATGTAGTGTCTCTACTTTAAAGAGTCCTCTCCTGCTGATGTTCAGGTGTATATCAGTATGTAGTGTCTCTACTTTAAAGAGTCCTCTCCTGCTGATGTTCAGGTGTATATCAGTATGTAGTGTCTCTACTTTAAAGAGTCCTCTCCTGCTGATGTTCAGGTGTATATCAGTATGTAGTGTCTCTACTTTAAAGAGTCCTCTCCTGCTGATGTTCAGGTGTATATCAGTATGTAGTGTCTCTACTTTAAAGAGTCCTCTCCTGCTGATGTTCAGGTGTATATCAGTATGTAGTGTCTCTACTTTAAAGAGTCCTCTACTGCTGATGTTCAGGTGTATATCAGTATGTAGTGTCTCTACTTTAAAGAGTCCTCTCCTGCTAATGTTCAGGTGTATATCAGTATGTAGTGTCTCTACTTTAAAGAGTCCTCTCCTGCTGATGTTCAGGTGTATATCAGTATGTAGTGTCTCTACTTTAAAGAGTCCTCTCCTGCTAATGTTCAGGTGTATATCAGTATGTAGTGTCTCTACTTTAAAGAGTCCTCTCCTGCTGATGTTCAGGTGTATATCAGTATGTAGTGTCTCTACTTTAAAGAGTCCTCTCCTGCTAATGTTCAGGTGTATATCAGTATGTAGTGTCTCTACTTTAAAGAGTCCTCTCCTGCTGATGTTCAGGTGTATATCAGTATGTAGTGTCTCTACTTTAAAGAGTCCTCTCCCGCTGATGTTCAGGTGTATATCAGTATGTAGTGTCTCTACTTTAAAGAGTCCTCTCCTGCTAATGTTCAGGTGTATATCAGTATAGTGTCTCTACTTTAAAGAGTCCTCTCCTGCTGATGTTCAGGTGTATATCAGTATGTAGTGTCTCTACTTTAAAGAGTCCTCTCCTGTCTGAATGTTCAGGTGTATATCAGTATTTAGTGTCTCTACTTTAAAGAGTCCTCTCCTGCTGATGTTCAGGTGTATATCAGTATGTAGTGTCTCTACTTTAAAGAGTCCTCTCCTGTTGATGTTCAGGTGTATATCAGTATTTAGTGTCTCTACTTTAAAGAGTCCTCTCCTGCTGATGTTCAGGTGTATATCAGTATGTAGTGTCTCTACTTTAAAGAGTCCTCTCCTGCTGGTTCAGGTGTATATCAGTATTGTAGTTGTCTCTACTTTAAAGAGTCCTCTCCTGCTGATGTTTCAGGTGTATATCATCAGTATGTAGTTCCTCTACTTTAAAGAGTCCTCTCCTGCTGATGTTTCAGGTGTATATCAGTATTAGTGTTCTCTACTTTAAAGAGTCCTCTTCCTGCTGATGTTCAGGTGTATATCAGTATTGTAGGTGTCCTCTACTTTAAAGAGTCCTCTCCTGCTGATGTTTAGGTGTATATCAGTATGTAGTGTCTCTACTTTAAAGAGTCCTCTCCTGCTGATGTTCAGGTGTATATCAGTATGTAGTGTCTCTACTTTAAAGAGTCCTCTCCTGCTGATGTCAGGTGTATATCAGTATTGTAGTGTCTCTACTTAAAGAGTCCTCTCCTGCTGATGTTCAGGTGTATATCAGTATGTAGTGTCTCTACTTTAAAGAGTCCTCTCCTGCTGATGTTCAGGTGTATATCAGTATGTAGTGTCTCTACTTTAAAGAGTCATCTCCTTGCTGATGTTCAGGTTGTTATATCAGTAGTGTAGTGTCTCTACTTTAAAAGAGTCCTCCTCCTCCCTGCTGATGTTCAGGTGTATATCAGTATGTAGATGTGACTCTACTTTAAAGAGTTCCTCTCCTGCTTGATGTTCAGGTGTATATCAGTATGTAGTGTACTCTACTTTAAAGAGTCCTCCTCCGTGCTGATGTTCAGGTGTATATCAGAAGTGTTGTCTCCTACTTAAGAGTCCTCTCCTGCTGAGTTCAGGTGTATATCAGTATGTAGTGTCTCTACTTTAAAGAGTCCTTCTATCTATCTAGTTAACAAATACTCTAGTGCAGCAGGGGTTCAGACTCTCTCTCTAATACTGATACTCAGTGGTATGAGTCAAACGCAGTTATAAAGTACCTTGCTCGATAGAGAGTGAGTATACTGAGAGCAGTTTGTAGTAAAAACCTGTTGAGTTACTTCAGCAGTGTTTTAATAACACAGGAACACCCTCCATTAATCATGAGCAGGTTGAATCCGAGTTGACGGTTTCTCACACACACACACACACACACACACACACCACACACACACACACACACACACACACACACACCACACACACACACACACACACACACACACACACACACACACACACACACACACACACACACACACACACACACACACACACACACACACACACACACACACACACACACACACACACACACACACACACACACACACACACACACACACACACACACACACACACACACACACACACACACACACACCCTCAGAGAAGACAAAGAGAGGAACACTTAGTCCTCGTGCAGAGCTGAAAACTGTGTCAGAGTTTTATCAAAATCATGTTTAATATAATGAAATAATACAAAATGCAATTTGCCAGGTGTTTAGTTTTTCATCGTTTCTAATTCAATGACCACATTTTACAAACATATATGAACTCCTTCTCATTCAAACTCTCCCATTAAATACCGGCCTGTTCTGTCGCTGATTTGAGTTTATTTCCTTGTACTTTTGGGTCTTTTTGGTCTCTTTTCCACAGAGGTGTAAAGTAACTAAGTACATATACTCAAGTACGCTACTTAGGTAATGTTTTGAGATACTTGTACTTTACTTGAGTATTTCCCTTTTATGCAGAATTTATCGGATATTGTACTTGAGTAAAAGTAGAAGTACTCAGATATAGTACTTGCGTAAAAGTAGAAGTACTCAGATCATGTACTTGAGTAAAAGTAGAAGTACTCAGATCTTGTACTTAGTAAAAGTAGAAGTACTCAGATCATGTACTTGAGTAAAAGTAGAAGTACTCAGATCTTGTACTTAGTAAAAGATCTTGTACAGATTCATCCACATCTGTAAAGTAACTAAAGGTATTAAATATATGTAGTGGAGTAAAAGTACACCATTTACCTCCGAACTGTAGTGGGGTAGAATTAAAAATTAGCATACAAAGTTAAAATACTCAACTTAAGTACAGTACTTGAGTAAATGTACTTAGTTACTTCTCACCACTGGATAGGCAAGTAGTATAGAATGTGTATGATGAAACACGTGAAGTCAACATTCCAGTATCAGGGTCTACCGACTTCACTTGAACGCATCACGAGGTTACCTGAACCTGAAGGTGTCTCCTCCTCCTCTCCAAGCCGCACCCCTTCACTCTCAGGCGGATTCATCCAGGAAGAAACCCCGGAGGAACCACCGGCTTCTGTCCGATTTACAGAGCATTTTGGGGGTTTACACACCGTCGCTTCCGCTGGTTTTGTCGCAGCTAAAGTCAACATGCTCATCAAAGAGTTGTGAGTATCTTTTTTATATGTATGTGTATACAGAGTGGAGAGAAACTGGCTCTGTGGCTTAACTTTAATTATTTAACATTACAGAGAAAAGCAGGCCTGGTTAATGCTGTAGTTAAAATACATACTCCATACATCTCGATGCTTTGTATCTATGTTGGTCTTTCTGTGGTTCTGCAGCTCATACTGGTTCAAGTATTTTTGACCCAAGGCTTTCAGAAATCCTGGGAATTTAACGTGTATTGGTTGTGAGGCAAAAAGTACATACATGCTCAATCATTAACTATAGATTTTAAAGTTATTTAAGTACATCAATGTTGATCTGTGTGTTTTTAACTCCAACTTACCTTCCAGCTCTGTTGAGGCTCTTTGAAGTCATGTTGAGTCCCTTCCAGCTCTGTTGAGGCTCTTTGAAGTCATGTTGAGTCCCTTCCAGCTCTGTTGAGGCTCTTTGAAGTCATGTTGAGTCCCTTCCAGCTCTGTTGAGGCTCTTTGAAGTCATGTTGAGTCCCTTCCAGCTCTTTGAGGCTCTCTGAAGTCATGTTGAGTCCCTTCCAGCTCTGTTGAGGCTCTTTGAAGTCATGTTGAGTCCCTAAAGTGTCTTTAGAAATGTTTTGTGTCGCTTTGTCGCTGAAGTGTCTCTTTGCAAACTGTGTTGTGTCCTTATAGACAATCTGTGTCTCTTTTAAAGACATTTTGGGTCCCTTTTGTAATGGGTTAGAGCGTGTTTGTCATTGCCTTTTTTGTAGCTGTGTAGTGTCTCATTGTTTGTAGTCGTTTGAATAGCTTTGTAGTTTTATGTGTCTTTCTGGCAATTTTCTGTCTCTTTGTTGAACGTCTGTGTCACTTCATAGTTGCTTCTGTCTGTTTTTAATATTTTGTGTCGTCCTTCTGGTCATTATGGGTCTCTCCGAAGCAATGTTGTTCGTCTTTCAAGTCATGTTGTGTCTCTTTTCCGCTGCTTTAGGTGTCTTTGTAGTCCTTTTGTGTCACTTTAAGGTGTTTTGAAGTTATTTGAATATCTTTGTAGTTTCATGTGTATTTTTTGCCAATTTCTGTCTCTTTGATTAACTTCGGTGTCTCTTTATAATTATTTGTGTCTCTTTTAAGCCTTTTGTGTCTCTTTTAAGCATGTTGTGTCTCTTTTAAGCATGTTGTGTCTCTTTATAGTTATTTGTGTCTCTTTTAAGCATGTTGTGTCTCTTTATAGTTATTTGTGTCTCTTTTAAGCATGTTGTGTGTCCCTACCGTTAATGTTGTGTCTTTTCTAGTCTTGTGTCTCTTTTTTAAAGGTCTCTTTTAAAGGTGCTTTTTGACGCTCTTCCTGGTTAGCTTCTGTCTCTTTGTGTAATATGTTGTGCTGAGGGTAAAACATGCACGTGCACGGCTTCCTCCAGGAGTCCCGGGTTTATTTGTTCTTGATTGCAGTTTGTCAATTTCCTCTTCCTCTTCTCGAGGTTCCTATAATAACAGGACACGAGAACAAACCAATCAAAATCCACCGTTTTAAAAGCAGTGCTGTGAATAAAATGCTGACTCCATGTTGAAGCTGTGCATAATGTGAAAACGCTGGATCATATTTATGCAATATGTTATGCTTGTATGGCTACACCAACAAGTACGGAGATGCATTAGTAGTTTAGAATGTCCTTTCTGAACTGCCATGTATAAATTAGGTCGCTTATTCTTGTTTTTCCTGCATTTTCTCACTTAAATATTGTGTTTTTTCATATTTAGTCAAGAAGTCAGATTTGTTGTGTGTGTTGACGCACATAAGTGCTGTTGTTGTGTAATAAGAACATATATGTATCTATGGAGCTCGTACAGATATGACTGTGGTATATTTTCACTCAAATCAAGGCAATATATTACCCCGATAAATATTCCCAAAAACATATAGAAGCTTTTAATTTCCTCACGTTTGGGATGTTGAACATGTTGATCATTGATAACACATCCTCCTGTAGCCAGGGGCGATGTTCCGGATTAACTTGTTTCCCGATCAACTTGTTTCCGTGGGGTGCGTGGCTTTCGACTGAAATACACATTTCGATCGCTTTCTTCTGTCGTTTACATACATCTTTTGGTATATTTGGCTTCTTAGGAACACGTTGATGCACATCCAGTACCAGTGTGTGAGGTTGCGATTACGATGGCGATATCCGGACGCGAACAGCGAGGACTACAACAAGACAAACGAGTTGCTCGAATAAATCATTTAAACCAGCTATTGTTTCCAGACTTATTACGGAATATCGTTGTTAATGTCCAAGTCCATCTGTGTATACCTTCAGACAGCCTCCAAGTGAAGCACACAGTGTTTACTCACAGTTTGAAAGCAGCGTGGAGAAGTCTTCATCTGTGTTAAACTGTGATCCTCCCACGGAACTGGGACCCGCCCAAGTTAAAATGTGTTACGATTTCTGTGGCTATCTACCAGTGGCGGCGCTAGGGGGTGGCTACTTGGGCTCAAGCCCCGGATGTTTTCTGAAAAGCCCCGGATGTTTCACTTAAAAAAAAAAAAAAAAAAAAAGTAAATTAATTTTTTTTTAAAACGTCTCGGGAGTAATGTGCAGTACCGGAGTCCACCAGAGAGGCAGCCACTGTGGGACATTACCCTGCGTACTGCGTAGCCTGCCCTGAAGAAGAAGTGATCCTTCCTAGTGCCTGACGAGTTATAAGCTAATAGCCTATACACTTATGGATATTAGAAAGTTATTTTCATCGAAGCAGGCGCCACAAGCTGCAGCAGTAGCAGTATCAGCAGCTGACAACAATGTCATCACCAGCAGTCAAGAAATGGATGATGTTTCAGGTTTGTGAATCTAATGGTGATATCTGCACTCTGGCTGACTGAGTAAGAAGTGAAAAAGAGTGATGTAACGTTAATGTTATAGCTAGTAAACATGGAGTAACCACACTAAGTATACCCTTATATGTTAGTATGTATACAGAACATGACTAAAAATTATCCTAAGATGTAACGTTAACCCTTCATACCTCAGTCTACTTTTAAGACATTCAAATAACGTATTCCAATTGTTATTTTATTTTCACGCGTGGAATTATACCGGCTCTCGTTTCAGTACACATAGCAACAGAACTGACAGGCATCCCTCTGAATCAGACTCCGATTGGCTGTGACTGCATCCACTCAGAGTGTCCGATTCAGAAACGTGACTCTTACACTCTTTACGTCACAAACAAAGATGGTGGATGAGAATAGATCTATAAAATGATAAGCAATGCGCCAGAATCAAGGTGAGACTATCCACATCCTTTAAAACTCTACACACATTCGTTTCACCTTAATAAGTAAACGACTATTTGAGCGAGTTAAGGCATTAGTTTGCTTCATTAAAGGGTGTTAATGAGTGTTCTCCAGTGCCTGTTGTCCGCTTTAAGGTGTTATTAAGGTAGGGTTAATGTTGCTCTCAAAGTGCACCAGATTGATGCTTTCAACTTCAATATTTAAAAAAAAATCTTCTTCCCGGGGGAGCATGCCCCAGGACCCCCCGAGAGGAGGCGACGACCCCCCTAAAGGATGTTCGGTCCACCCCCCACTTATAAAAAATAGCACTGTACCCCTGCACCCCCCCCCCAACCCAACGACTCCTGGGCTAAGCCCCGGATCTCCTACAATCCTAAATCCGCCTCTGCTATAAATGATACCAGTGATCATGTTTAATATGCTAATATTATTTGTTCTTGATTGCAGTTTGTCAATTTCCTCTTCCTCTTCTCGAGGTTCCTATAATAACAGGACACGAGAACAAACCAATCAAAATCCACCGTTTTAAAAGCAGTGCTGTGAATAAAATGCTGACTCCATGTTGAAGCTGTGCATAATGTGAAAACGCTGGATCATATTTATGCAATATGTTATGCTTGTATGGCTACACCAACAAGTACGGAGATGCATTAGTAGTTTAGAATGTCCTTTCTGAACTGCCATCTTTAAATTCGGTCGCTTATTCTTTTTTTTCCTGCATTTTCTCACTTAAATATTGTGTTTTTTCATATTTAGTCAAGAAGTCAGATCTTTTGTGTGTGTTGATGCATATAAGTGCTGTTGTTGTGTAATAAGAACATATATGTATCTATGGAGCTCGTACAGATATGACTGGTATCTTTTCAAAAACGTATAGAAGCTTTGAATTTCCTCACGTTTGGGATGTTGAACATGTCGATCATTGATAACACATCCTCCATGTTTGTTTGTTGTTATTTATGCGCACTAACATCTTGTTTCTTTCTGTCTCTTTCAGCCGAATTGTCCTGCCTGTTTCCGTGGAGGAGGTAAGGACTCTTTCACTTTTATTTGAGCACAGGCGCCACATTCATTGACATTAATCTATTGTTATTTGTTATCTAAGTACGAGGTTTAATGAGACGGCTTATACCAATGTACTGTCTTTGACCTGTTGGCTGTACGGGTCCACAACTCAGCTTTAAATATCTACAGAGATCATTCATTTTAAATGCTCACAGATGCATTGCATTAGCATCACTTTAGCATACTGTAAATTCAACTTTTAACGTGATCTTATGGATTACTTTGTGTATAAAAAGTGTCGTTTTTTCAAGCATTTGACACACTTAAAGGTGGGGTAGGTGATTCACTTCAGAAACACTTGTTGTTATATTCCATGGAATGCTCTTAACATCCCGATAGCAATGAATATCTGAAGTGATTTGACAATAAATCCATAAAGAAACATCATCTCTGGAAGCCGTGGCGCTGTAAAAAGCACGACCAATCATCTGAGCCGGCCCGGCTAAAGTACCTGGATGGCCTACCTGCCTGTCAGCCTTCCATCTGGGCACAAACTGATCTCGTGCCCTCATTGGTCATGTTCGTGTTGGAGGAGGGGCTCTGTAAGGAAGTCTGAAGGAAGGGGCAGATTTTCAAATTCTAGCGCACTCGAGCTGGTTTCTCCATTCCTACCTACCCTACCTTTGAGTTTACATTTCATAACGATAAGTAGCAGTGAACCAGTGTTTGAAGAGCCGATGGAATTGATCTGCACTCTATCTACAGTGCACTTATTGCAAATAACAAACAATGTATGAATTAAGAGGTTATCGAAATTAAAGATGATTAAAAAGCAATTTATGAATGTAAAGGACAGAGTTTTGTGCGCATAAAAAAAAGCCTGTATAATAGCTTCTCTATGTGTCTGAGAGACGGCAAATTTAATAAATAAATGAGTCCTTTTAGGCTAGTGTCCTTCTTGGTGTTTGGCCAGAAAAATAATATAACAGTTACATATTTGTGGATGCAGGCGGTACTGATTTAAATACCATTTATAAGCCAACTATAGTACCAAAGATAATCGGTCATCCCTTCCTCCCAAAGCATGAGTTTCCTTGTGCCTTTTCCCTACATTACCGACAACTTGTAAAGAGAAATATCTAGTTACCAGGTCTCGTTTAAAAAGAGTCTTCTGCAGATATCACAAAACATGTCGGCCATCAAAGGAAACTTGCTATGTGATTATTATGATACTAACTTTCTGGCACTTTTCTTAAAGGCATGTACAAATCCAGCAGCACTCCTTGTTGTTGGAGTTTCCTTCTCTCACTTTAATCTCTCCTTCGATGCCCTTGCAGTTGAAACGCTCGGCTATCAGTGGCAGGATTGATTCAGCTGTGTTTAATCTGAGACTCACTGCCAATTACATTTCGGAGCAGATCCAAAACATGCATTATTAAAAGGTGCAGGAATGAGTCCTAAACCCAGAAATGAGTCAGCATTTATACAATTCCTTTCCCTTGTCTGGAAGTCAATGGATTTGTTAGTGTGTATTTGGTTGTTAGTCTGAAATAAGGTCTGTGGTTAACACAAGCTGAAGAGATTTTATTTCTACGACATAAAATACATCAGTAAATACCCCACTGGTAGATTTAAAAACAGTGGTAGCAAACAAGTGTCTAAATGAGACGACTAAACGTCATCACACCCAACATTAGCCACCTTTAGCTTACCGGTGGTGACGTGTAGTCATGTGACCGTGCTGTAGTTCCGTTATAGCCCAACAGTAGCCACCTTTAGCTTAGCGGTGGTGACGTGAAGTCATGTGACCGTGCTGTAGTTCCTTTATAGCCCAACATTAGCCGCCTTTAGCTTAGCGGTGGTGACGTGTAGTCATGTGACCGTGCTGTAGTTCCTTTATAGCCCAACATTAGCCGCCTTTAGCTTAGCGGTGGTGACGTGAAGTCATGTGACCGTGCTGTAGTTCCTTTATAGCCCAACATTAGCCGCCTTTAGCTTAGCGGTGGTGACGTGTAGTCATGTGACCGTGCTGTAGTTCCTTTATAGCCCAACATTAGCCGCCTTTAGCTTAGCGGTGGTGACGTGAAGTCATGTGACCGTGCTGTAGTTCCTTTATAGCCCAACATTAGCCACCTTTAGCTTAGCGGTGGTGACGTGAAGTCATGTGACCGTGCTGTAGTTCCTTTACAGCCCAACATTAGCCTCCTTTAGCTTAGCGGTGGTGACATGAAGTCAGGTGACCGTGCTGTAGTTCCTTTTGTGCCTGAGATGGGAACTCAGTGTGTGGGAATATGAAGACAGATGTGTGAACTTGTGAGTTTCTCTACATATTTATCTCTTAATTGTCTCACCTGTTCATTGAGTTCTAGCCATTCTTCCCACCCTAAAGAAATCCCTCCCTCTCTTTGAGTTTCCACTGCTTCACACAAGCAGGTATTTCTTCGAGTCACTTCATGTCCGTTTTGCTGTACGACCGGCTTTTTCCTCCGATCCCTTTCAGAGCGAGGCTTGATTCCTGTTAGTCGAGAAACTGAGCGTCACGATTATAACCGCCTGAGCTGGAGAGAATCTGGATCACATGGGATAGGGCTCAGTGTGTGTGAAGGGATTCTGCATGTTCTCTCAAATCAGAAACGTGTATATAATAGTCGTATAAATGGTTACTCAAGCAGTTGTAATGCTCACTGGTCCCATTATTTAATACTTGCCTGATACTTGATTTATTTATCATACATAAGTTATAAGAATACAGCATATGTTGTTAGTAATACTGCTTTAACGCAACCATGTCCCTTTTTTTCTTTCTCAAATGACACCTTTGTGAGTTGGTTGCCTCTTGTAAGCTATGCACGCACTTTAGAGAGGATTTAATGGTCATTTTCAAATGTAGTAAGTTAGTCAAAATCACAGCAGCTCAGACTGAGATGATATCCAGATTTCCACTTCATGTAAACACTGAAATCCTCTCTTAGGTAGATCTGCACTTTGTCTCATGTTCACCTATTTTAAAGTAGGTCAAAAAGGGGTATATGTTTCTCTAAGTTGCTGAAATTGACATAAAAACTAAAGTAATTAATTTTCAGTCAGTAGCATTGGTTAATCTAAAACAACACTTTATCATAAACTTCCCATGATGCATCTCAATACCATTTGATAAGCTCACATCCTTTACAATCCAGCAGCTTAACCCAGTGATACTTTCTTATAATAAAAAAATTAAACATCTACAGCCACACCCTGTTTCTGTCAGGTTACACACACACACTTCACAAACTTCACACACTTCCCCTCGTGCGTTTTGACCGGCATTGATGACCACCTCCCGTCACGTTAAGCAGGTATTTTTCGTTTACAGCCGAAATGTCCTGTTTCTGTCTCTGAGTTTCTGCGTTACGTCTGCGAACAATGAGAGACACTCTGGTTTTTCACGATAAGTTACTTTCCTGAGTTTGTACTCATCTACAGTTTCTGGAATAAGGTGTACCCTGAGAAGAGGGCTTGGCATTGTACCGAATGTATTATTTTTTACATTTAAAACTTATGGTAACACTTTATATAAAGGTACACTTATTCACCATCAACTAGTTGTTAATTAACATATTAGAGACAAACTACTAGCTTATTGGTTATGAACAAGACTTCACTTTAAAAAAGGGAATTCTGAGTTAGAAATACAACATTTTGAGTTATTTTGACACCTTTAAAGGTGGGGTAGGTAAGTTTGAGAAACCGGCTCGAGATACACTTGTTGTTATATTCCATGGAATGCTCTCAACATCCCGAGAGCAATGAATATCTGAAGTGCTTTTACAACAAATCCATAACAAAATTCATCAGTGGAAGCCGTGGCGCTGTCGAAAGGACGACCAATCATCTGAGCCGGCTAAAGTAACTGGATGGCCTACCTGCCTGTCAGCCTCGTGCCCTCATTGGTCATGTGCGCGTTCCTGTGTGTTGGAGGAGGGGCTCTGTGAGGAAGGGGCAGATTTGTTCCGGCTGTGTATTTTCAAATTCTAGCGCACTCGAGCTGGTTTCTCAAACTTACCTACCCCACCTTTAACACTTATAGTTTCATGTCTTGTTACATAAGAATAGATCATATGTGTTTGGTGTTATTATGGGAGAATTACTATTCTTGGGGTACTGACTTATTAGCCCCATATTGAGCAGAAAATATTAAGACTCAAACTCATGTACAACAACTTCCTTACTTACAATAAATAAGCACTTATTAGGGTTATTGAGGAAAAACTCTCAACTAGAGGTGTGTGGCGCAGTGGGTTGTGCGTTGGTGTTCGAATCAGGGGGTCACAGGTTCAAACCCCACTGCAGTCAGCATGTCGTTGTGTCCCTGAGACTCTTCACCCCAAAGTGCTCCTGTGGGGATTGCCCACAGTATTGAGTATGTGAGTCGCTTTGGATAAAAGCGTCTAACAAGTGACATGTGATGTAATGTAACTAATGGCCTAGTACTTGTAGAATAAGGCATTAATAAGTGTTTTATAATGACTAATAACGAGCCAATGTACTGCTAATAAGCATGGTAATTAACAACTAGTTGGTGGTGAATACATGCACTTTAATACAAACTTATTTTCAGGATCTTTTTTACATACTGTTGTCATTGCCTTAAAACAACGACCACATTAAAGACATGTAATCACGCACTAGCCAAGAAAAATAGTAGTAATATTCTTGTTTTGCACTTCAAGGAATTCTATTGTAACGGGGAAACACACCAGAATGAAATACAGGTGAAACTCTGAGGCGTAAAATAACAATCCACGAATCAGAAGAGAAACAAGTACAATAGTAATCTAATCAAACATTATATACAGGGGTGCACATAACTTGTTTGCCCTGGTTCTCAAAGGAGCACCTGGAGATGTTGCTTGGTGCTCATCCTTAAAATGAAATAAACTGTAACTTTTGAGGGGCTCTTGACTTTATTTGCCAGACTCACGCGCTGAACACACGTGCAGAGGTGAACACAGAACACACACACAGAGGTGAACACAGAACA